TAAAGATCCTAAAGTTATTTTATATAGAGTTAATTTATTTCTCTAATATATCTATAAGTATTTACTAATAAGTTTATTATTCTATTTATAAAATATATTCTATTATACTTAAGGCTTATTAGATATATTAACTATTAGAGTAACTAAAGTAGTACTTATAAATCTCTTTTATTATAATAAGTTAATTTTTCCTTTTTATATTAATAGATTTATTAATAAGGTGAGTTATATTATAATTTAGGGGTTTTTTATAAACTTTAAGTAATTATTTAGTAGGTATTTAGTTACTTAATATAGTAGTAATTAGCTTATTTTAGTTAGCTATTATAGTTATAATCTATTATATTAATATTTAGTTAATTACTTTATTTAGCTTTTTAGCTTAAATTAACTTATTAACTATAGTTATAGATATTTAGTTTTATAGTCTATTTAATCTATAAAGAGAGGTTTTATATTCTCTATTCTCTTATATATATTTACTACTTAGTTAGTAAGTATTTAATATAAGTAGCTTATCCTCTTTAAAACTTTTAGCTTTATTTAAAGTATAGTTTCTTATTTCCCCTTATTAACTTATATTATCCTCTAATTATTTATTAAAGTTATCTTCTCTATATAGGTTTATATAAGCTATTTTATTTAATACTTAGTAAATACTAAGTATAATTTCTTTAGTTTAATTAGTAAGTATTACTTAAGTATATAATATTATTATTATTACTAACCTTTTTAAAATAAAGTAGAAGTAAAAGAATTATAAAAGTATTTAGAAATTATAAATTATAATTAAATTAAACTAATAGAAGAAGTACTTAAAAAGTAAGTATAGTATTACTTTGTTACTTTTATTTACTTCTTCTAAGTTCCTTCTTTTTTAGTTTTTAGTAAGTACTTATTAAGTCCTTATTATAGAGGGTTCTATACTCTAAACCTATAGACCTTCCTATCTATTTAGCCTCTACTAGCTAAGCTATCCCTAAGCCCTCTAGCTAAGTATTTAGTCCCTTATACTATATAATTAAATACTTATAAATACTTAGAATTATCACTTTTTATTATAATATAAGCCTATCTATAACCTTATACTATATAGGCATATATACTACGCCCTTAAATATACTTATACCTATACTAATAATTATTATTATAAAAGATATTATATATTAATACTTTTAATAAAATAATTAATTTTTAACTTATTTTAAATAGTATATTAAGCCTTATAATTAGAAGGGGTTTAGAATATATTATAAAGTTATAGAAATTTAATTAGTTTATTTTAAGTAGTAGTATTAATATAGGATTAAGAATAAGAAATAAGCTTAAGGCTTAGTGAGTAGTATCTTAAGTATATAGCTAAGATATACTTTTCTATAGCTAAAGACCTTATAAAGCTATATCTATATAGTATAAGTTATATAAGTAAGACTATTAACTTTACTAATAATAAAGCTATTATTAATAAGGTTAATAGCTATAATAGTATATATATCTAGCCTAGATGCTTTTACTTAGTGAGTTGAGGTCAGCGTAGGTAGTTATTCCGGACCCTTAGGTATGTATACTGCGAAGCTACTAGACTAGGCACTGACTGAGGTGCTTTTACTGCTTTTTCCCCTACTGTGAAAACCCCTACTGGGTGGGCTCGAAACTTCCTCAACATAATCAGAGGGGGTCGGATTGCCAGCAGCGTCGCTATTAACGATGCCCTTAATCCCGCTTAGAGGGAGGCAGTCGTCCACTTTCTCGTCACGAGGTCTTGGGATGATTCTATCGCCTACCCTCAGGTGGCGTATGCCGTAGACGATGCGACAGACCGAGTTGGCTGTGCGCTACGGAGTCTCGCCCCTGAGTCGGGCGCCTACATCAACGAGGTGAGCATCCACGACGGTATCTCCGTCGCAAGGACATGGACACACTTGCTGACATGCACCAGGCCGACGACCGCGAGTCCGACTGGCAAAGGATCTCTTGGGGTCCCAACTACGACAGGCTCCGAGAGATCAAGAAGAAGTATGACCCTGACTCCATTCAGTGGTGCCACCGCTGTGTTGGCAGTGAAGACTGGGTTGAGCTCAGGGACGGTCGTCTTTGCCGCTCATATAACTAGTAGGACTGAGCATTGCCTTGTTACATCAGTTTGGCGTCTCAACCACCATTCTGGTTGGTTCCCCCTTCAAGGAAAACGACCGGCGCCCAGTCGCAAAGGTATGACAAGCCGCCTCTTGGGCCATGCTCGAAACTTCGAAGTTCCATTCGGTCAAATATGTTCATACAACTAGTCACCATGTTATTGTTTATCAGAAACATACCACCGAAGCGTGCTTGATCTTCTCCATCTTGTAGAGACTTTCACCTGCATTATTTCCGGAGTCAATAATTCTGGAAAATTTCCACTGGCGGCAAGAAATGTCTACTTGAGACAGATTAGACCGATCCATAGATGACCAGAAGACAAGACAGTGAAGATTATTGCTAGCGGAAGCGCGGCTCATCTCACTCGCATGTTTCTCGCCTGCTTTTCTGTTAGGTTGAACGTTGTTTCTTAGTATAAAATAGAAGGATGGCGCTCCAGATTTGTTTTCCTCGGAACACGCAACAATGACATGGTTCCACAGACTGGTTGCAGACGTTCAACTGTAGAGAACTTGCAGGAATCCGACGGCCGTTTGCTAGTTGGGCGTTCCGCGGACGAAGAAGGCGCAAATCAAGAATCCTATGCACACTAGAAAACCTCGTCAAATACACTGGAGACGGCGATAATGCCGGATGACGCACGCGGGGCTCATGGCTCATCATATCGTCGAACGACCTCAGCCACAGGGATCTATACGTCGAAGTGCTATTGATACTTTGAATCATCAAACTGGCATCCGAAAGCAAAGGACAGTGTTTCTTAAGTCGCAGAGAAAGCAATGGGAAGAAGATACGGAGTTGTCTTTTATGTCACAGGCAATGGCCTAACATCCCCATCCACCGACATCGATACTGTGATATGGTTAGAATGCCGGTACGTCCGGCAGTCTCTGTATAAAAAGGCGGGTTCTTCTCCGAAACAAACTCGGACCAAGGAGGGAGCACAATTAGAGCCGCTTTCCAGATGTCTGTCTTATAGAACGACGAGCAACCTCGTAACACAAGTCACCGAAGGCTGCGAGCTCGCAAGGATCAGCAAATCCAATCTCCTGGATATCTATAACATCCAGATACGTCAGAAATAGCGAGAGCAAGGGAAAATGCCAGTACCATAATGCAAGACGCATTCGCATATTTATTGGACAGCGCTCGGGAGACGGGGAATTTGATATCCTTGGAGGACACCAAGCTGACCCTACCAAATTGGTAGCACAACCATTCGGCTTGGTCTGGTATTTGAGACTTCCACCCCGAGAGTGTTTTATATTCACGGATAACAGACTTTAGTTCTCAGGCGGGCTTTCCCAAGTCCTTTAAAAAGGGAAGAAAGTGGTAGAGCTACATATATAAAGATGGGCGGTATCGCCAGCTAAGCTACCCAGAACTTACCCAGCAATGTCCGGTGTTGACGGAGGAAGCAACACATAGTAGGGCATTCACAGTACTCTCGCTGCCGACAGCAAGTCTCGACGCTCAGCTGCTGCCCCATCCATAGATTGTGAACGCGTCTGTGACTTATTCACCGTATTAGGCAGAAGATGAAAGGATAACGACGCGGGACAAAGGGAACAACATGATGTTCCATGCAGTCCAGCATCACATAAACACCTCGCCGTGTGTGAGAGAGAGAGAGAGAGAGAGAGAGATGGGACCGCGCGGAAGCGCACTCAGTTCCCACAGGTTTGGAGAACATCCAACACACCCGGTTGGATGATATTGTCGAAAATTTGGAATATGCTCTATGATTGCGCCATTTATACCTACTGCTGCTTAAACACTCTTCCTGAAATCAATGCAAGTGAGGCTCTGTGAGCTGTATCATGAACCATAGTTTCCACTCCACAACCATCATTCTGAGCAACATACATCCCACACGTTATCAATCTGGCAAATTTCATCAACACTCTGGGCATGTTACCCTTCTGATCGTGTAGCACATGGAAGAAGATGAACACTCAGACTTATCTGAACGTTCGTCTGGATATTGAGCATCTGGAGTAGTGCCTCGGCAACCCAGACTTTGCCAAGCACAATGGTGTTAAGAAACAACCACCGCATAGAATGATGCCCAAGCTGAGGCGAGCTGAAAGGTTTCTTTCCAGCTGCCAAGACGCTGCTTGAAGCATGCTTACCTCTGATCAACGTTGCCACGACAGCCAAGCTCGTTGTCGCAAAGTCTGGTATTTTCAGCAACCGCCCACCTTACTTGGCAGCACATGTGCAACAAGCAAGACCTGCTCCGAGACATCTGACTTGGACCGACACATCTCGATGAAACAAAAAACTGCCAAGCTCAGCTCGCTAGCCTATCGCCCGGATCGACAGAGCCAAGGAATGAATAGCAGTGACATACTTCGCCCAGATCTCGCGAGTCCATTTACGCTTAAATCAAGGAATGTTTCACAAGAATGCCCCAGAGACCGAAAGTCTCGGTTGCCACAGCAGCTAGAAGCCAGACGACTCTGCCAATTCCGGCATCATTTCAACGGAGAGCAAAGATCACAAGAGAGTTTGGTTTCCGAGGTACTGGCGTGCCGACAGCCGTTAGGTTCATAAGGTTAGCGGGGGGCATCACGGGGCGATTGACGACCGGGAACCCACGCAGTCTGATGTGATACCCGGATAAGTTCCAGAACAAAGCTTCCGACTGAACTTACTTCAGATGTTACTCGACGCCCGTGACAGCTCGCTGACTGGCTCCCTGTTCCGAATAGGGCAACCAGGAAGTTGTGTGAGGGTGTCATAATCTATTTTCGTCACCGAAGCATGGCGATTCTTAAAGCCCTCGGATAATGAGATGCCTTGCTGGGGCGTTGGGACTACCGGCGCGCCTGCTTGTGCAAGGCGGGCATCGTGAGCCCGAGCAGAGCCTGGGTACGCTTGACGGAAACAGGATTTATTTGGCCGGGTTGTTGTAAAATGACGCGAACCGACGGCTACGAGAGGCCCGTCTTGTGTTCGTCCGAACCGTGCGACCAGTAAACGGCGATTAGAAATATGACCAAGTGAACCGAGACCCTGAGAATGTTTTGTTTTGACAGTCGATAGTTTGCGGACGTCAGCCAGAGAAAGGCTCTTTTCGGTACGCGGAAAAGACTGGCTTGACGTATATTGATAGCGATATAGATGGGGGCTCTGTTTCTCGGAAACGTTGCCGATGGACTCGATACCTTGTTTGGGCCATTGCGTGCTCATTGAAGTCCCGGTCTCCGACTGACCTGACATCTGACCCAGATCGTTGCGACATGGCCCCAACAGCCCTTGACCAGAATGTATCCCAGGGCCACCAAGTGTGGCTGAAGGAATGCCAAACAGGCAATCCAATTGCTGACTGAGAATGAGCTGAGGCAGGTCAGTCAGGATTCCAAGGCCGTGCGGTTGCAGGAGCCCCTGTTCAGATGAGGGAATTGGGATTGTGGTCAACATGCCGACTCCACATCCCGTCTGTCGCGTACTTTCGTCAGAAGTTCGATATGCCTAGAGACCGAAGGAGCAGGCTGCGCTGAAAGACCAAAACCGTGTTCTTCCTGGAGCGATCCTCGGGAGCTACGGAAGATGAAATCATCCGTGCGCCATGTGTTTTGCCCGAGATGGTGAAGTTGCACCATGAAGCATGAGAAAGGGGTAGAACACCATCTTGACTTGTTAGTGCGGAAAATAGCCCGAGCCATCGACACGATTGTTTTCGCGCCATCTGATCACTGTCGCAGATGTAGATCTCTGCGTGGAGACAGTGATTGCCTTTGTCTTGGAGACGACATCAATAGAGACTCGAGCAATAAGTAGGGCGCACTCGGGACGTGTCAGGTCCCCGCGATCCCTGCCGGGGAAATCCTGCGGACTCGGGAGGAGGAACGCGCACAGAACGAAGGCTGGCTACGCTTGCCGCTGTCATCCCTGGCGCTATGAACTTGAGGAGCCATTCAATGTTGCTTGTTGGATAATGACTCCGGTGTCACCCACATAAGATAGCATCCAAATGTAGAAGTATCTAGGTAAAGCCAGGACACACTTCGGCCAAGTGTCGCACGAGCAAGAACTTGTGTTTGGTGTGGTTGGCTAAATAGTAACGTCGAGGTCGCAAGTTGCAGCATAGAGGGGATCTAGAACAGTTTTCTAGCGTTTCGCTCAACTTACTTTCGAGACTGAGAGATAGAGGCGTACTTGTTTGATGTTTCTGTGGGTGTCGTGGGTTTGCCGCTCCCGCCGTATCTGACCGGGGGATTTTGCGCCGTTGCCAGCGATGTTTTGCTGAACGATCCTAGTCTTTCGAGCCCCGGTTTGAGGGCGATCGGCACAACTAGTGGCTCCATCCCATAATGAAAGCGAGGATATCGGCAGGGAAGTTGACAACGCTTCGATTTGCAGTTGAGGGAAACACAGCTGGAAAGGCGTTCTGAGTGAAAGCGGCGTCGTGGATGACAGAGAGGTGGTTGTCTTGGCTGTCTTGCATGCTGGAAATCTAGAAATCTCACGATGACCTGCAGACCCCTTGCAAGTGCATTGAAGGGGTGCTGCATTCCACAATGTCAGGCTGCGCCATCTTGAGCAAGACGGCCCACTGTCAACTTCAGGTTGCTGAAAGCTGCAGAATTGGGAGGCCCAGCACCGGCAAGGGTGGATTCTGAGGAGAAGAGCTCGAGCCTCGTCCCGTCATTCGTACAGCAGCCGGACGGTTTATTAGCTGGCACCGGGCTCACGCTGGACACGAGCAGTTTGGCAGGCAGCTGTCAGCCGATTGGTAGGCTGCTGACGGCCTGCCCCCACGACGTGAGCAAGCGCACCGACTCAACGGCGACGGCGTAAAGGGGAAGCGGGCTGCTGCTATGTGGGAGACGAGAGGGATCCGTCCGTGGATGGAGCGATAATATCGCATCTGAAGTCTCTGCGTGGATTTGAGGCCGGGGCGGATGCGAGTCGAGGTCGAGGATCGCCGCCGTATTGTTCTGTTCCCAGCCCAGCCCCTATTTGTGC